AAAGTTGGAGGAATTCCAAGCATAGACGTTGCTTCATAAATATTTGCCAAGCCTGCGAAAACTGATCCTCCTCCTAATCCTACACCACCTCCTATGGTCATTTGTCCTTTAAATTTGTTCCAAGTTGCATGCTTTTTTGCGCTTAATTGGTTTCGGGGTATGGTGCGGTTTGAGTCTGTCTAAAAAGGGTTCAAAGATGTTAAAAGAACCCAAAATTAGAGAAAAGCTCAACGAAATCATGACTAAAGCATTAAGCGCCTACGATAAAGGAGAATATCAAGAATTCATTAATGCACTTTCTGAGGAATATGATGAAAAGAACCAAAAAAGCCTCATAGAGTGTTGCAATGGAATTGGTATTAAGGGAACAGATGGTATAGTAAGTACACTTAAAATGCATGGTTTTAGATCGGATGGAATTGCCTATCTACTTGTTCTGCTTGGGGAAGTCTTAGGTAGTGGAAAAATAATCATCGAAGGTGTCACACGCGCAGATTTTAGGACACATGCAAAGAGAATTTTTCGAGAGGCGTTGAATAACGATCTTGTAGAAGAAGCTAAAAAATTAGATGACTGTACTAGTGAATTACGAAAAGCCAGTAAAGGGGATTTTAAAATTTATTTTAACGTTAAAAGTACTTATGGTAAAGTTGTAGATTCTATTTTTTCGAGGGAGGATACAAGATTGGTTTTAGAATACCTAGATGACTCTCTAGAAATGCCTTTTTTTTCAAGATTAGAAGAAATACGTAACATTGCGAGGATCAATATTGCAATTCTTAATATAACAGAATATGATTCGTGTGCATGTAAAGAGGCTATTAAAACTGTTGAGGAAGTTAGAAAATCTACGAAAGAAAATTATCAATTTGTTAGTAAAGCTGAATTTCGTTTAAAAATCTTGGAAGATTTCTTGTGGATAATCAGTGGGGAGGTCATACCCGATACATCTCTTATCACTTATTCCGTTGAAACAGAATCAGTTCCGGGATTGAATGATAAATATATTAATTATTTGGATAATCAGCTGTCTTTTAGTCAAGAACCAACGCATAAATATGATAAAGCAGTTTATTTTGAATATTTGGCTGAAAAAGAAGCTAAAATTAACAAATTAACCAGTTTACGTTTTTGGCAACGTGCTCAAGAAAACTATGAAAGTGTACGTGAAATAGATCCTCAAGAATTGACTTATTCACTTGGATATGCAAGGTGCTTACTAAAACTATCTAAATACACTCAAGTTATTGAACTTCCTGATACATGCCCTGAACTAAATTCTTCGTCGGAATACTGGCACTTTTGTAGTATAGCTTATTTTAAACAAATAAAATATAAAGAAGCTAGGGCATGTAATACTGAAGCTTTGAAAATAGATCCAAAAAATAATCTAGCGGACAAACACAGAGAACTTATCAGCAAATTAGAAATGAAAAATACTGTTAAACACCATATTGATCGTTATAAAAGTGAATTGATATATGAAACAGATTATTTAAAAAATTCACATAATAACGAACGTCCTATCTATAATATTCTATCAATTGATGGTGGAGGAATACGTGGGATATTATCTGCCTTATGGCTTAGTGAGATAGAATCCCGCGCCCATAGACCCATTTCTCACCTATTTAATATGATAGCTGGAACGTCGACAGGTGGGATCATTGCTGCAGGACTAGCAGCACCACAATTCGAATCTGAATGTATCCAAGCTGAAGAACACGCGGCACCACAATTTGAATACAATTATTCAAATTTAAAGCCAAGATTTTCAGCTTCAGACTTACTAAACATTTACAAGGATGAATCAGAAAAATTATTCACTAGATCATGGACCTTCTTCAATATGTCCGATAAATATACAAGTGAGGGTCGTTCTACTATGTTTAAAAAATATTTTGAAGAAACAAAATTAAGTCAATCATTTACTGAACTGGTTATTCCTGCTGTAAATGAAACTCATTCGGCAATGACACATTTATTTACTCGCTATGATGCTTGTAAAAATAGTGGA